TATATGTATGTACAAATATCTCCAATTTTTGTGCAATAATCCCAAATTTTTTGGTGACTTTTTGAATTTTATTTTTTCAGTTGTTTATCAGGAAGAAGCTAGGCTCTACAAATTTATTGTATAACTTTTATAAAATAAAGTATTGCGTGATTTGTAATTTTTATTTCCTGTATATGTACTGAAATAATGGTTTTTATTTCAGACAAATAATACTCTGCCTTACAATTAAATAAGGGATACTGGTACCGGAGTATGAAGTTCAATTCAAAGACAAGATTATTACAGATTTAAGATGTAAGCAAAAGTGTTCTTGTTTGAAAGGACTAAAATTATATATTTCCAAAACAGAGGTGACTCTTTATGTATCTCTTTATAAATATTCCAATCCGACGTGATACACAGATTTTAACTTGATTTTGTTGACCAATACATATTATTAAATTAACATCAGAAAATCCATATCGTTTCGCGTAAATATGTAGCCAAAAACCATGAAATAAAATAATTCGTTGGTATTTTAAAATTCAAATTTAAGTTCCAAATTCACAGTACTTTAACAAAGAGTTCAAATCATATATTATGCGGATAACGCATTCCGCAACAACATAGAAGAAGTCCAACTTTCTTATATTATTTTCCCGAAAACTTAGCTCACTTACTCAGTTCACCCTTTGCAATCGCAACAAATTTTTGAAACGTGACACCTTAAGCACATGTGACAATATTTGATAAGGAAACCTTTTCGCTACCTTGAAGAAAAATGAACATGAAAGATCTCACGATCATGAAATGAAACATCATGTTAACATATCAACAAAGAAGTCATTCTATCTTCAAAACATGCAATTGAAAACCTATCTGAAATATTATATATTCTCAAAGTACGGGAATATTTTATAGATATGACATCTCTACATTTATTAGACCTAGGAATTAATGAACTAGGTCAATTTTCGGATGGACAATTATTTAGAACAATAAGATATCAAAATATGTATGGGGGTCCGCGAAATTAAATAAGTTCTTCAAGGGGTCCGCGAAGTAAAAATCGGTGGGAACCGCTGGTCTAGTCTATAGTCTAATCTATAGTCTAGTCTATTGTCTAGTCTAAAGTCTAGTCTAAAGTCTAGTCTAAAGTCTAGTCTATAGTCTAGTCTATAGTCTAGTCTATAGTCTAGTCTATAGTCTAGTCTATAGTCTAGTCTATAGTCTAGTCTATAGTCTAGTCTATAGTCTAGTCTATAGTCTAGTCTATAGTCTAGTCTATAGTCTAGTCTATAGTCTAGTCTATAGTCTAGTCTATAGTCTAGTCTATAGTCTAGTCTATAGTCTAGTCTATAGTCTAGTCTATAGTCTAGTCTATAGTCTAGTCTATAGTCTAGTCTATAGTCTAGTCTATAGTCTAGTCTATAGTCTAGTCTATAGTCTAGTCTATAGTCTAGTCTATAGTCTAGTCTATAGTCTAGTCTATAGTCTAGTCTATAGTCTAGTCTATAGTCTAGTCTATAGTCTAGTCTATAGTCTAGTCTATAGTCTAGTCTATAGTCTAGTCTATAGTCTAGTCTATAGTCTAGTCTATAGTCTAGTCTATAGTCTAGTCTATAGTCTAGTCTATAGTCTAGTCTATAGTCTAGTCTATAGTCTAGTCTATAGTCTAGTCTATAGTCTAGTCTATAGTCTAGTCTATAGTCTAGTCTATAGTCTAGTCTATAGTCTAGTCTATAGTCTAGTCTATAGTCTAGTCTATAGTCTAGTCTATAGTCTAGTCTATAGTCTAGTCTATAGTCTAGTCTAGTCTATAGTCTAGTCTATAGTCTAGTCTATAGTCTAGTCTATAGTCTAGTCTATAGTCTAGTCTATAGTCTAGTCTATAGTCTAGTCTATAGTCTAGTCTATAGTCTAGTCTATAGTCTAGTCTATAGTCTAGTCTATAGTCTAGTCCATAGTCTAGTCTACAGTCTAGTCCATAGTCTAGTCCATAGTCTAGTCTACAGTCTAGTCTATAGTTTAGTCTATAGTCTAGTCTATAGTCTAGTCTATAGTCTAGTCTATAGTCTAGTCTATAGTCTAGTCTATAGTCTAGTCGATAGTCTAGCCTATAGTCTAGCCTATAGTGTCGTCTATAGTCGAGTCTATAGTCTAGTCTATAGCCTATTCTATAGTCTAGTCTATAGCCTTGTTTATAGTCCTAGTCTATAGTCTGTCTATAGTCTATGTATCACCTTCAGGCTGATACAATTTTACTGTACATAAAACTGTTGTACCGCATACTTACACTGTTTTACCACAAGCACTGCTTGTTACTTTTATCACAAAGTACAATAAGAGACTTCTACAATAATGTAGCATACCTTTAGCCGTTAGTAAAAATTACCGCGTTTAACAAGAAAAATGGTGTTTAGTAGTTTTAAAATTAAAAAAAAATATTTACATATTATGAAAAATATAACAAAAATTAACATTTTTTATAAAAAATAAAATACTGTTATCTTACCTTTTTTATGCAATTTTGTACTTAATTAAAAAATATAGATTTTATAATTTTATGGAATGATTTAAATGACTTTTCAAAAAAGATGTTTATTTTATTTCATATATTTTTTTTACTTAAATTTTACATACTTTTTTTTCTTCTTATTTCACTTACATCTTAGATTAATAAATTTTTTGTTAACATTTTTTTTTTGCAATAATTAATTCAATTAAAAATATTTTTTTTGTTTCAATAAATAAAAATAAAGAAAATATAAACGCAAATTTGTTTTTGCTGTGAAACTGTATTTATCCCACTAAGGATTTAGGATAAATTTGGTATAACAAAATAAATTATAAAAAAATTAAAATAAAAATAAATAGATTTTTTTTTGTATATATAAAAAAACAAAAACATAAAATGCGTTTATATTAAGGATTAATTTAAATAATTAGGTGGGGCGGTTTTAGGTGAATTAGTAAAAAATAAAGGAGTTTTAATAGGATTTCTTCTCAAATTTAAAACATATTTTAATAAAATTCAAACATTTGCTGGTTTTCTTTATAATGATTTTCCCTTTTAATAGTTATTAAGTATTAAATAGAATGAGTATATAGTTGTGTTAATTTTTAGTTTTTTTAAAATGCTTAAATTTTAAAAATTATTTTCTACTTAATTTAATAGATTTTAGTTTTTTAAATTTTGCTGCTTGTTTTTTTTTTCGCAATTTCCAAGTTTTACATTTTAATATTTAAGCCCTACAATTATATCATTTCCACTTTGTTTCTTTTAGTTTAAATATAATTTTTTTAATAAATTATTTAATTTTTGAAAGAAAATATTTTATATATATATTTTTTTTTTGTTTACTATATTTACTATTATATAACAATAGTTTATTAAAGTTTAATTAAGTGTTGTTTTACTGCTACTTTTGGTAATATTTGAAAAATATTCTTTTAATAGAAATTTACTATTTAAAGAGTAAAAAATTTTTTTCACTGTTTTTAAAAGAATTTCTTTTGGTTTATTATAAATCTGTTTTAGTTATTGCTTTATTTTTAAATATTTTATTTTGTTATTCTATTTTATTTAATTGTTTCAAAGTTATTTTTTGTAACGGAAGTTTTTAATTTTGCTTTGTTTTAATTCAAAAATTAATTTCTTAGTGGATTTTGTTTTCTTTAATATTTTATTGTTTAGAAAGTGTTGTGAAAATGTTTAATATTTATTTTTTATTTAATTAAAAAAGTGTTTTATTTTTTTTTAATTTTTTTGGCAACAATTTATTTTTCTTACTTTTAACTACTTTTCTTTTTTTTTTTCCTTAAGCATTCTAAGTTTTTCTTTTCTTTTGGGAGGGGAATTTTAATTTTCTTGCAATTAATATAATCTGTGGAACAAAATGGAATTGACACACATTTTTTTTGCATTTCACTAAAAGTAAGAGCTTTTTATAAACGGAATTATTCTTTTAAAATCACTAATAACACTGGCCAACAAAATATGAAAAATGGACGAGGTATATTTTTCTAAAGAATTAAGGTGTGTTGAATCCAAATTAAGAATCTGAATCTTTCAATATACATAAGTAATATAGATATCATGTCCTAAAGTTTGAAGAAAATACCGTTTTTGGCCACATTCGCGAAGAAAACTTTATTTTTAAAGATTGTTATATCAACTGAAAGTCCAATCTGCCCACTTTTTACTTCTTCGAGATATCGTAACCTAAAGTTTACAACAACGATTTCTAAAATATTCAATATTGTTAAGATATGTCGAAGAATAAAGAACTTATAAAGGTTAAACCTTTATTTCAAATTCGGTTGGTTGGACTTTCGGATGACGTACAAGATTTTCCAAAACAAAGTATCTTCGGGCAGTTCTAAAGTCTCAAATATGACCAAAATCTTTATGAAACAATATCAGCCACATTTGAGATGTTATAAAAGCGCGAAGACACCTTTATTTATGAAGTCTAAACTGGCGACTTTTAAAATAAAGATTTAACCTTTTTGGTATCTTTTCACTTCTTCGAGTTATCTTAACCTAGATTAAATTTAATTAGATCAGAGGTTAAGCCTTTATCTCAAACTCAAACAAAGGTATCTTCTAGCTGTTATACAGTCTCAAATAAGACCAAAAACTGTTTTTTTTAATCTTCAAGTCACGATATCTCAAAAACCTGCCACCTAAACATAGCTTAATCATTTAGAAAAGTATAAATTGGTCTTAGTGGTTAAAAATTAAAACTTCTGACACAAAGTTCAGTTGGTAGCTGAACTTCTAAACTTCAGAAAAGAAAAAATACAATTCTTGTTAATATTCTCTGATATTTTTAAGAAATCAGAAAAGGATTAGAACCAGACAAGCAGGACTAACTTTTATCAGGGAGAGTACTTTGTTAAAATTACTTTTCATTTAAATCCGATCGCTTGAACTAGTCTAGCGACTTTTCTATAGTCTAGTCTCATAACTTGTCTAGGGAATACTCTAGTGACTAGTCTATGAATTATTCTTTGTACCGACTACTCTATATTTCTATACTTTGGATTTGTATATTTTCTAGTTTACAGACTATTTTATAATTTAGTTTTTGGACTAGTATACTACTCTAACGTCTAATCTATAGACTCTGTTGTCTGTTGTCTAGTCTATACAGTAGTCTATTGTCTAATGTAAGGACTAGTCAATGGTCTTGTCTACAGATTTGTCCACAGACTAATCTATTGTCTAGTATATAGACTAATCTATAGTCTAGTCAATAAACTAATCTGTGATGTAGTAATCTGTAGACTAGTCTATTCTATTGGGTAGTTTATTGTATAGTCCATAGAGACAAAATGGACTGCCTAGTCTATTGACTAGTGACCTTTAACCTGCAAATTGTTTAATCTATAGACTATGGTCGAGTTTATAAACTAATATATGGTCTAGTCTATGGACTAGTCTACATACTAGTCTATTCTATTGAGAGTATATTGTCTAGGTTATAGAACACTCTACATAGTGCATACAGACAAAATGGACTGTATAGTCTATTGATTCGTTATGAACCAGTTTAATAACTAAATGGATTTGTTTATTAAATAGTAAAATGACTAATCTATTCTAGATAAGCGCTAAATATAGATTTTCGTAACCTTTGACCTTCAAAATGTTTAATCTATAGAATCGTCTATTGTCTAGTCTACAGATTAGTATAAAGACTAAGCTATTGTCTAGTATATAGATTAATCTATAGTCTAGTCTATAAACTATCCTATGGTTTAGACTATGGTCTAGTCTACAGACTAGTCTATTCTGTTCTATTCTATTTTGATTAGTCTATTGTCTGGCTTATAGACTAATCTAGTCTATAGATATGAAACTGTGTAGTTTATTGACAGTTATGGACCAGTTCTATAATTAAATGGACTTGTTTATTGACTAGTAAAATGACTATATAGAATTTAGTGACCTTTGACCTCCAAAATGTTTAATCTATAGACTCGTCTATGATCTAGTCTAAAGACTAATCTATTGTCTAGCATATAGACTAATCTATAGTCTAGTCTATAAACTAATATATGGCCTAGTCTACAGACTAGTCTATACTATTTGAGTAGCCTGTTGTCTATGTCTATTAACTAGTCTATGGACCAGTCTATGTGTTTATTGACCAGTAAAACGATGCTAGATAAACGCTAAATATAACATTTTGTGACCTTTGACATCCAAATGGTTTAAAAGTAATTTTTAGCCTTTTATTTAGGATCTCAAGATGGAAGTCCTATTTAAAAGCGAATCGTTTTTCAATATTCTAAATTAAAAATATTATTTTGATTTGATATTGTTCATAAAGCAGTAGTTATTTCATACATTACTTGGTAATAGAAGGTCATTCAGTTTAATTTTATGGAATATGATGTCTAGAGCGTGTGTCTAATAATTACAAAGTTAATGGATCAAATCCGAATCTTGTAAGCGAATAGACTTCTATATTACTTGACAGCTTACCGTGTAAGTAATGTTCATTAAGTTGAATTTATTTCATATATTACTTGTTAGTAGAAGATTGTTATCAATAACATCGTTTAAGTTTCTTCAATAGGATTTGTATCCAACTGTTTAGAGCGTTTGTCTAACAAATAAGAAGTTAATGGTTCGAATCCGAATCGAGCAAACCTTGTCTGCTTACGGTGTAAGTAATGTTCATAAAGTAGTAGTTATTTCATATATTACTTGGTAGTAGAAGGTTGTTATCAATTACATTATTTAATTTTGTTGAATAGGATTTGTAACCAATTGTCTAGAGCGTTTGTCTACCAATCAAGATATTAATGATTCGAACCCTAAATAGTTGTCTTCGAAAGATTTTTTGATAGCACTATAAAATAGACTTGTCAGTGGCGCTTTAAAAAAACAGAAAACAGTTTAAGTCCGTTAAAGTCGGTTTAGCACATTTGTAATCCGTTATTCACCCAAAGAGTAAGTACTTCCTCTTTGCTTCTATATTAAGTAAGTGAAGTGGGGTAAGTGAAGTTTTAGCTTGGCCGTTTAAACTAGTAAACAAAATACCTTTTAATCGTGAAGTCAAAAACTACTTTTCAAGATGTGATGCTGATGTAAAAAAAACTAGCTTTAAATGTTTAATTTCATTAATTTTACTGTCTGTTTCATTCCATTTCGTTCCACTTAGCATACATACAACTAACAAACCAAAAAAGCTTAAGAATTATTCAATAACTAAAAAAAACATTATTAATATATAATTTTTAAATGCAATTTCTCTATAATTTTTGAGTGTAATGCAAACAACTACACTTCCCCGTTTAAATATTAATTTCGTTTTGTTTTAACAATTTCAATTTGAAAATCAACAATAATTATTTTTTCACTTTTTTTTTTGGAATTCTAAACAAAGTTTTTAACCACAATTTAAGCTCTTAAAATTTGTTTTAAAACTACTTATCAAAAATACGTTTTGTCTGTTTTACTTAAATTGGAATGAAATTTTACATAATTGAAGGCTTAAGAACTAAGACTTAATTATAGTACACGCCTTAAGACTTTAAAGACAAAATGGCGTTTAGGGGTTTTTTTTTCTGGCTTAAAAACTACTTAATAAATAGATTTTTTTTTTTAAATTACAACCAATTAGCTTTAGTTCATAATATAATAATTATATTTTATTAATAAAATATTTTATAAAATTTATATGGAATATTTTTAAATGTGTGTATGTGTGTGTTTATGGGAGAGTGTTTTGAAGTGTTTATATGTGAGGATGGTGTTAAAAGTGTAAGGTGTTTTCAATCATTTTAATGCCTAAAATTTCTTGTTTTTTTTTCTTCCAAATTTGGGGTTTTTTGAGTGATTTGTTTTCTCTTTTAGCTTTTATTCTCTTGTATGTGTTTTTGAAGATGAAGAACAAGAATGTTGAGAATTAAATCAATATCAATGTCTTTTTCAATTACAATTCAAGCCAATAAGAAAATCTAACGACTCTAGTCATCTGGGTCTAACCCGATTAGTTCGGCTTGCAAACGGCCCTTAGTCTTACAGCATATTGTTAAGCAAAATACTCTGAGTGCGATACGAAATTGTGGTGACATTGTCGTCATTATGATTATTTTCCAAAATGAGTTTAAAACACCAATCCAAACTACGCCAAAATTAATGAGAGTACTTTGTATAACATCACCGGTTACCAGTTCGTACAGACGTAACGAAATCCATGGTAACCATGACATCCAGAATGCAAACACTAATGCGAATGACATCATATGACTTGGATTCGATAAATTTTCAGCTAATGCAGTAGCATACTCTTTATCATGGATCGGTTCACCCGATTTAATTTTACGCATCATAATGAAAATGTATGTATAATTATGAACAATCGATATAACACTAGGACCTAAAACTAATATTGCTAACGTTATACTATACGCCGCCATATTGCCCCAATCGAGCATACAAATGTGCGCTACATGATTCTTAATCGGTGCCGTATAACCGAGTATAGGTGGACTGCAGAGTAGGGCTGCTGAGATCCAGGTAAATGCCATCCAACATTGACATCTAGCAGAAGAAAAAGAGAGAGAGAGAGTGAGCAAGCTAAATGTATGATCGATTTATTTAAGTGTTAAACTTACCTTGTTTTCGTTTGTACCGTTTCGTAGCGCAAAGGCTTACGTACCGCCAAATAACGATCAACCGATATCCACATAAACGTATACACTGATACCGCCCACAGAGTTACCTCTAAATAACCAGTAAAACGGCACAGCAATTCCTCGTGCAACCATTCTCCTGTTAAAGCTGGATATACGGAAAAGGGTACCACCAAAAGACCACAAAGTAAATCGGCTACCGCTAATGATAACAAATAATAGTTGATAACTTCTGTGGGACCTAGAGCCGAAAGTATAGTTTTGTTTTAAACATAAAATACACAATTAGTATCAGACTTTGTCAGTTTAAACAAAAATTTTAACTTAAAAAAATAACAAGCATTCATTTCCCTGTTTCAACTACAAAGCATTTTGTTTGATATTTTAATATGAAAGTGTTTTATAAAAAAGCTGTTGTTTTCTTTAAAAATTTTTATTTTTTGATAAATTGTATTTTTTGTTTAGTAAAGAAAAAAACTACTACGCATTTACCTTGTTCCTCTGCTAGTTTTTAACAGTTCTATTTTCACTCATTTGTTTTGAACCATTATATAGATTACAATTACAACTTGTTGTTGTTTTTTACGTATTTATCGTTTTCAAATAATTTATTATTTTTATTTCGGTTTTGAGTTGACTTACCTTTGAAATTGGCATATGTGGCGATTATTAGAAGATTTGAGAGTACAATAGCTACACCTAATATGGAGATGAGAACAGCTTTGGTAAGTGCCTCCACTTTGGAATTATCTTGCAGGTAATTCATTTCCTGCATTTTTGTAATATCTGTAAATAGTTTGAGATAGAAATTGGTTAAGAGAAATTATATTCATGGGATCTATTTATATGCTGACATATATGAGAGAAAATCAACTATTTTAAGTTCCTTTACTTCTTTTAATCGGAGTATTTGTTTGATAACTATTACACTAAGACTCAGTTCATAGTCTAGTCTAAGTTTTAAGTTCCTTTACTTCTTTTAATCCGAGTATTCGTTTGATAACTATTACACTAAGACTCAGTTCATAGTCTAGTCTATATTCTAGTCTATAGTCTAGTCTATAGTCTAGTCTATAGTCTAGTCTATAGTCTAGTCTATAGTCTAGTCTATAGTCTAGTCTAGTCTATTAGTCTAGTCTATAGTCTAGTCTATAGTCTAGTCTATAGTCTAGTCTATAGTCTAGTCTATAGTCTAGTCTATAGTCTAGTCTATAGTCTAGTCTATAGTCTAGTCTATAGTCTAGTCTATAGTCTAGTCTATAGTCTAGTCTATAGTCTAGTCTATAGTCTAGTCTATAGTCTAGTCTATAGTCTAGTCTATAGTCTAGTCTATAGTCTAGTCTATAGTCTAGTCTATAGTCTAGTCTATAGTCTAGTCTATAGTCTAGTCTATAGTCTAGTCTATAGTCTAGTCTATAGTCTAGTCTATAGTCTAGTCTATAGTCTAAGTCTATAGTCTATAGTCTAGTCTATAGTCTAGTCTATAGTCTAGTCTATAGTCTAGTCTATAGTAGTCTATAGTCTAGTCTATAGTCTAGCTATAGTCTAGTCTATAGTCTAGTCTATAGTCTAGTCTATAGTCTAGTCTATAGTCTAGTCTATAGTCTAGTCTATAGTCTAGTCTATAGTCTAGTCTATAGTCTAGTCTAAGTAGTCTAGTCAGTATAGTCTAGTCTATAGTCTAGTCTATAGTCTAGTCTATAGTCTAGTCTATAGTCTAGTCTATAGTCTAGTCTATAGTCTAGTCTATAGTCTAGTCTAGTCTATAGTCTAGTCTATAGTCTAGTCTATAGTCTAGTTCTAGTCTAGTCTATAGTCTAGTCGTTATAGTCTAGTCTAGTTAGTCTAGTCTATAGTCTAGTCTAGTCTAGTCTATAGTCTAGTCTATAGTCTAGTCTATAGTCTAGTCTAGTCTATAGTCTAGTCTATAGTCTAGTCTAGTCATAGTCTAGTCTAGTCTATAGTCTAGTCTAGTCTATAGTCTAGTCTAGTCGTATAGTCTAGTCTAGCTATAGTCTCTAGTCTAGTATATAGTCTATGTCTAGTCTATAGTCTAGTCTATAGTCTAGTCTATAGTCTAGTCTATAGTCTAGTTCTATAGTCTAGTCTATAGTCTAGTCTATAGTCTAGTCTAGTCTATAGTCTAGTCTATAGTCTAGTCTATAGTCTAGTCTATAGTCTAGTCTACAGTCTAGTCTATAGTCTAGTCTATATTCTAGTCTATATTCTAGTCTATAGTCTAGTCTATAGTCTAGTCTATAGTCTTAGTCTAGTCTAGGTTGCTTTAAAGGGGAACCAAGCGAATCGCCTGGATTGAGGAAGTAAAAGATTTAAAACCACCAAATGTTTTTTCAACTTCTTTTGGGGACTGCAAAACTCGTATTCTGGAGAGAATCTATTATACGGTATTACAATAAGCCTATAAGGCCTTTGATCATAATCGATTATAACGCAATCTAAATCAACTGAAGATAATCTAAGTCAAGAAGGTTCCACTATTATTGATTGCAAATAGTTCTGAAGTTTGGGCGATAATCTATATAGAATCAATGCGACGTTTTCAAAAATTACATAGAAAATACCACCCACCTCTACTCCTGCTTATTTCCATCATGTCGAACTCTGTTAGATAATGCTAAGAATATCGAAATAAAATAGAAATTAGACTTAATATCAGATAATCCTTGATTACAAAGCACTAATAAAACTAAGGATTTCAATTTATTATTCGATTGAATTCATAACAAACCTTATGAAATAATTTTAGCAACAACAATGATTCTTAAATAATTTTCCTTGTTTTTTTTTTATGAAGTTCAATTTCAAATTTCATATTGACGCGGCTACAACTAACAAAATAACCTTTACCTTAAGACAGCCCATATTCATACTTGATAATAAATTTTTACAAAAAATTTCAATAAACCAATCAACTAAACAAACTTGGCAATATAATGTATTCATTCTAGCCGTATTATAACAGACAGTTACATGTGTTACTTTAGTTGGCTATAACACCCACCTTTTAAAGGCAGACTAAATATATGAAAGAAATGTAGAATATAACTGTGAGTCCTTAATACAGGAAATAGTTAAATACCAAATGCTACGAAATGCATAAATTTTCACATAAAATACCAAACAAGCATGCAGGATGTTTTTTTGCATTGGCTTTTATTTCTTTTAATTTAAAATATACTTCAATGAAGAATGCAAGTACATACAGACATACATACATACATAACTACAAGTGAGGATTTGCCCAACAACCTTTACATGGTGGTAAAAATGTTTTTCTATTTTTACTCTCGAAGAAAGTTGTTAGTTTCGATAAAATGTCTTTTTAAGGAATGCTTTCAATAAGTTCTGTATCTAGGGCAATAAACGACTCTCAGTGGTTTAGAAAATTTAAATTTAGGTATATCGGGAACTATTGCCGCGGCAGAGAATGACAAATCGATAACCCTCTCTTTAGAGATATTTTTCACAATTTGTTTTTATAGAAAATTTCAGTTCTAGTTTAGTTCTTATTCATTTCTAGTTCAGTTCTAGTTCAGTTCTAGTTCAGTTCTAGTTCAGTTCTAGTTCAGTTCTAGTTCAGTTCTAGTTCAGTTCTAGTTCACTTCTAGTTCACTTCTAGTTCAGTTCTAGTTCAGTTTAGTTCAGTTCTAGTTCAGTTCTAGTTCAGTTCTAGTTCAGTTCTAGTTCAGTTCTAGTTCAGTTCTAGTTCAGTTCTAGTTCAGTTCTAGTTCAGTTCTAGTTCAGTTCTAGTTCAGTTCTAGTTCAGTTCTAGTTCAGTTCTAGTTCAGTTCTAGTTCAGTTCTAGTTCAGTTCTAGTTTCAGTTCTAGTTCAGTTCTAATTCAGTTCTAGTTCAGTTCTAGTTCAGTTCTCTCAGTTCGTTCAGTTCTAGTTCAGTTCTAGTTCAGTTCTAGTTCAGTTCTAGTTCAGTTCTAGTTCAGTTCTAGTTCAGTTCTAGTTCAGTCTCGTTCTAGTTCAGTTCTTTCAGTTCTATTAATTCTAGTCAGTCTAGTTCAGTTCTAGTTCAGTTCTAGTTCAGTTCTAGTTCAGTCTAGTTCAGTTCTAGTCAGTTCTAGTCAGTCTAGTTCAGTTCTAGTTCAGTTCTAGTTCAGTTCTAGTTCAGTTCTAGTTCAGTTCAGTTCAGTTCTAGTTCAGTTCTAGTTCAGTTCTAATCATTTCTAGTTCAGTTCTAGTTCAGTTCTAGTTCAGTTCTTAGTTCAGTTCTAGTTCAGTTCTAGTTCATGTTCTAGTTCAGGTTCTAGTTCAGTTCTAGTTCAGTTCTAGTTCAGTTCTAGTTCAGTTCTAGTTCAGTTCTAGTTCAGTTTCTAGTTCAGTTCTAGTTCAGTTCTAGTCATTCTAGTTCTAGTTCAGTTCTAGTTCAGTTCTAGTTCTAGTTCTAGTTCAGTTCTAGTTCAGTTCCTAGTTCAGTTATAGTGCAGTTTAGTTTCAGTTCTAGTTCAGTTTAGTTCAGTTAGTTCGTTCTAGTTCAGTTCTAGGTTCAGTTCTAGTTCAGTTCTAAGTTTCAGTTCTTAGTCAGTCTAGTTCAGTTCAGTTCTAGTTCAGTTCTAGTTCAGTTCTAGTTTCAGTTCTAGTTCAGTTCTAGTTCAGTTCTAGTTCAGTTCTAGTTCAGTTCTAGTTCAGTTCTAGTTCAGTTCTAGTTCAGTTCTAGTTCAGTTCTAGTTCAGTTCTAGTTCAGTTCTAGTTCAGTTCTAGTTCAGTTCTAGTTCAGTTCTAGTTCAGTTCGTTCAGTTCTAGTTCAGTTCTAGTTCAGTTCTAGTTCAGTTCTAGTTCAGTTCTAGTTCAGTTCTAGTTCAGTTCTAGTTCAGTTCTAGTTCAGTTCTAGTTCAGTTCTAGTTCAGTTCTAGTTCAGTTCTAGTTCAGTTCTAGTTCAGTTCTAGTTCAGTATCAGTTCAGTTCTAGTTAAGTTCTAGTTCAGTTCTAGTTCAGTTCTAGTTCAGTTCTAGTTCAGTTCTAGTTCAGTTCTAGTTCAGTTCTAGTTCAGTTCTAGTTCAGTTCTAGTTCAGTTCTAGTTCAGTTCTAGTTCAGTTCTAGTTCAGTTCTAGTTCAGTTCTAGTTCAGTTCTAGTCAGTTCTAGTTCAGTTCTAGTTCAGTTCTAGTTCAGTTCTAGTTCAGTTCTAGTTCAGTTCTAGTTCAGTTCTAGTTCAGTTCTAGTTCAGTTCTAGTTCAGTTCTAGTTCAGTTCTAGTTCAGTTCTAGTTCAGTTCTAGTCAGTTCTAGTTCAGTTCTAGTTCAGTTCTAGTTCAGTTATAGTTCAGTTCTAGTTCAGTTCTAGTTCAGTTCTAGTTCAGTTCTAGTTCAGTTCTAGTTCAGTTCTAGTTCAGCTCTAGTTCAGTTCTAGTGTAGTTCTAGTTCCGTTCTAGTTCAGTTCTAGTTCAGTTCTAGTTTAGTTCTAGTTCAGTTCTAGTTCAATTTATAAATTAAAGTTTGATTTTGAATTAATGCGAATCTAAAAATCTGAATTTCACTATGTGTTGTAAAAGCTGATTTATATATCGAACTCAGATGATGTGTTGAGACGTAGCTTTTAAACATATTCTTGGCGTGTCCGCAAACACTTGTACAATTAGCCAATTTAACAACTTTAAAGCTGTTTTAGCAATTTGTTTAAAATGTTTACCAAACAAATGTCATGTCTTCAATAATGAAATGAAAGTGTTACTAGACGCAATAGAATGAGAGAGAAAAAATCCAGTACTTACCGTACATCCGGTCATGACGCTTTGGCAAAATTTATTGTTGTTTCATATGGACGCCAAAAACGGCCAGCAGACAACAATTCAAAGGAACAACAAAAAAAATGTGTAGTAAAAAGAAAAAATTAAGCGGGAATTGCTATCGAGTTGTTTGAAATCCTTTCGTAGATGTAGAGAAATTGTTCTTCCAACAAGGAAATGCACGAGTATGTGGTAACTTTAAGTTGTTGCAACAATATTGTTTAAATATGTAATTTTTGTTTGTGTTGTTGTTGGAGTTTTAGTGCATTTTTCGTATACCAATATGTCCTTAAGGTGTTGGAAAGAAAAATCCTTTTTTAGTTTTGTTCAACGTATTTTGTTTTTACTTTCTCTTTGGTGGACTGACTGCTGCAACACGCGAAGGTCGCTGCCTAATGGTTGGGTGTGATTTGCAGTTTGTTTAGGCAAAAAATTCTCATATATCGGCTTCTAATTGTAGTTCGTATTTATTTTCTTTTTTTGATTTTTTGCCAAAAAAAATACTTAGAGAAATAATTACATGTCTAGTTAAAAGTTGGCGCTTCCTTTATGTAAGTTTGTATGTATGAAACATTTGTTAAGTTTAAGGTCAAAGGTAAAACTTGAAATATAGTTGTCTGTTTACGTGGAAAAATTACTTTTTGTTTTTATAATAAAAATTGTTTTGAATAATCAAAACCTTTTTCAGTTTTGCGTCAAAGCTCGCTTTTTAATAAAAATTTTTCTTTTATTATTTTTATATTTTAATAATTCACAACACTTTTTTAAATATTTAAATAAAATTTATTTAATATCACTACTTTTTTAGGGTTATTAAATTGCAATTAAGTAAAGTTTTATTTTTATAATATTTTAATTAAATATGGAAGATTTTATTGATTAATTAAAAATCTACTTGAAGTTTTAAAAGAGTTAAATATTTAAATATGCACTTTTGTTTAATTAGAGAGTTTCTTTTATAATTTTAACACAGCTTTGTTGTTTTATGTATTTAATTGTTATATTTTTTTATTTCTAGAATATTAAATATCATTAAATATTAATACATTTGAAGCTGTAAGAAATCTGAAAATAAAGAAAAATAGAAAAACTTGTTATAGTATTAAAGACGTAATTTAAATGAAATTAAAAAGGTTTTTAATTTTCTATAAGAAGAAAATTTTACGAAAATTCAGTCAGTTTTCGAAAATTATCCCAAATACCTACTAGAAATAAACTAGAACTAAATTAGAACTGAATTAGAACTGAACTAGAACTGAACTAGAACTGACTAGAACTGAACTAGACTAGACTGAACTAGAACTGAACTAGAACTGAACTAGAACTGAACTAGAACTGAACTAGAACTGAACTAGAAACTGAACTAGAACTGAACTAGAACTGACTAGAACTGAACTAAAACTGAACTAGAACTGAACTAGAACTGAACTAGAACTGAACTAAAACTACTAGAACTGAACTAGAACTGAACTAAAACTGAACTAGAACTGACTAGACTGAACTAGAACTGAACTAGAACTGAACTAGAACTGACTAGAACTGATCTAAGAACTGAACTAGAACTGACTAGAACGGAACTAGAACTGACTAAACTGACTAGAACTGAACTAGAACTGAACTAGAACTGAACTAGAACTGAACTAGAACTGAACTAGAAACTGAACTAGAAACTGAACTAGAACTGAACTAGAACTGAACTAGAAATGAACTAGAACTGATACTAAGAACTGAACTAGAACTGAACTAGAACTGAACTAGAACTGAACTAGAACTGAACTAGAACTGAACTAGAACTGAACTAGAACTGAACTAGAACTGAACTAGAACTGACTAGAACTGAACTAGAACTGAACTAACTGAACTAGAACTGAACTAGAACTGAACTAGAACTGAACTAGAACTGAACTAGAACTGAACTAACTAGAACTAGAACTGAACTAGAACTGAACTAGAACTGAACTAGAACTAGAACTGAACTAGAACTGAACTAGAACTGAACTAGAACTGAACTAGAACTGAACTAGAACTGAACTAGAACTACTAGAACTGAACTAGAACTGAACTAGAACTGAACTAGAACTGAACTAGAACTGAACTAGAACTGAACTGAACTAGAACTAGAACTGAACTAGAACTGAATTAGAACTAGAATAGAACTGAACTGAATTAGAACTAGAACTGAACTAGAACTGAAAAATTTAACACTTTCTATAAATACTTAATTTATTGAATATTATCTATATAAAAAAAATGTATTCGAAATTTTCCAAAAGAAAATTTACTGAAAAAAATTCCTTCTGAATAAATTTACTTTATAAAAACAAAAATATTTACCTCTTTCCTTAACCTAATATTTATATTAAATTCTCACTTTCTATTAAAAATATTTTCTTATCCTTAACTTAAGTATCCTCTAAGTACATGTGTGAATGTGTGTGACTAGACGCAGTCTATTTTCAAAACTTCTGAGTAGTTAAACGCAATTATAATGTTAATAAAAATCTTTATTTAATACAACCACCCACCCTATCCTTCTCCTTTCTTCTTAGCCCCCGTTTGCAAAGCGTAAAAACTAAATGGAGAATTAATTCTAACTATGGGTTGTTGTTGTTTTTATTGCAAATTAATTAAATATTATGTCAAACATAAGACCCCATAATAAAAAGAAAATCTGATACCTGAATATTAAAATCATTTTCATAAAATACTTTGTAGAACAAATTGTGTGTAAGGGAAACTAAAAAAGAGGAAAAATATGTATTTAGAGCAGTGTTGCTCAAACACATACTACCATAGTTTTATTTGTGTTGGTAAAGCAGCAGAGAACAGAATTCAATTCAAAATAAAAGTATACTAATAAAATGACTATAAACTATAAAGGATATGCTAACTGTCAAATATTTATTATGGATTTTGACAGCCACCGTATATCAAAGTGTATATATAAAAAACTATCAACTGTTCTCTCATGTTCTCCTACATTAATTCGGCTTTCTCAAAATTTTGTTGTTGTATTTCTGTGTGTATTTTAAAAACGTCGCGTACAGACCTTGCTTCGACAAGTGCTGATCAGCAACTGATTTGATTTTGTTTTTCAAGTTGAGAGCAAACCCACTGATATTGCTCATTATAAAAAGAAGAAGAATTAAACCTATAGTGTATGTGTATCAACTTAGCGTCAGCAGAATTTTCTTACCCTATCACGCGTGCTATGTAATGGCAATCTTGCGCTCCTCTGATTTAGAGCTTTAATTACATGACGATGATGATGGTCGTTTGCCAATAAAATTTGATAATGACATAAAATACAAAAAAAAATTAATTAAATTATTATTTTCTCTTTTTATTACTTATTTGTCATTTATCGTGATGATTTTTTAACAAATTATATAAAAATATTTTATAATAATAAATTTGGAGTTATGCTGTCGTGTGAACATAGCATAACAATTTCTAGTTTTCTCGGAATTTATCACAACCCACCATTACAGTACTTTATAAAGTATAATTTGTTTTCCGCCCAACACCAATTTATTTCATTAAAACTGTGAAATATTTATAAAAATATTTTTTCGTCTTTAACAAGTTGATGAGTTTTTGATTATTAAGTTTCTTACTCTACTTTCCTGCAATCACAAATTCTAAGTTTAGTTTCTTTAAGGTCTTTTACTTGTTCTTATCAAGATTTCAGTTTTTAGTAAAAAGGGCATTTAATTAATTCATGGTATTTAATAGTTCTTTCTGGCTGATTCCTTTCCGCCTGCAATCAGTCATTCCTTCAGTGCCTCAGTTAGTAGTAGGTCATTTAGCTGAATAAATGACATTTATGTCATTTATTTATTTATTTAAGTAGTAACTAAAAAAAGTAAAGTTTACATTACAGCAAATATTAAATATTGTTAACACCCAGTATTTGTTTATGGATTATTTATTTCTGTACATGTCTGCTACTTCTATTAACCCTGCTGTTTTAAAGGGAGTTAACGTATTCCGTTTACTACTTGAATGCATCGAATTTTAAAATTTTTGGAACTGAATTAGAACTGAACTAGAACAGAACTAGAACTGAACTAGAACTGAACTAGAACTGAACTAGAACTAAACTAGAACTGAACTAGAACTGAGCTAGAACTGAACTAGAACTGATAGAACTGAACTAGAACTGAACTAGAACTGAACTAGAACTAGAACTGATCTAGAACTGAACTAGAACTGAACTAAAATGAACTAGAACTGAACTAGAACTGAACTAGAACTGACCTAGAACTGAACTAGAACTGAACTAGAAATGAACTAGAAATGAACTAGAACTGAAATAGAACTGAACTAGAACTGACTAAAACTGAACTAGAAACTGAGCTAGAACTGAAGAGAACTGAACTAGAACTGAACTAGAACTGAACTAGAACTGAACTAGAACTGAACTAGAACTGAACTAGAACTGAACTAGAACTGAACTAGAACTGAACTAGAACTGAACTAGAACTGAACTAGAACTGAACTAGAACGAACTAGATCTGAACTAGAACTGAACTAGAACTGAACTAGAACTGAACTAGAATTGAACTAGATCTGAACTAGAACTGAACTAGACTGACTGGAACTGAACTGAACTAGAACTGACCTAGAACTGAAAAAGAACTGAACTAGAACTGAATTAGAACTGAACTTAAACTGAACTAGAATGAACTAGAACTGAACTAGAACTGAACTAGAACTGAACTAGAACTGAACTAGAATGAACTAGAACTGAACTAGAACTGAACTAGAACTGAACTAGAACTGAACTAGAACTGAACTAGAACTGAACTAGAACTGAACTAGAATGACTAGAACTGAACTAGAACTGAACTAGAACTGAACTAGAACTGAACTAGAACTGACTAGAACTGACTAGAACTGAACTAGAACTGACTAGAACTGAACTAGAACTGAACTAGAACTGAACTAGAACTGAACTAGAACTGAACTAGAACTGAACTAGAACTGAACTAGAACTGAAACTAGAACTAACCTAGAACTGAACTAGAACTGAACTAGAACTGAACTAGAACTGAACTAGAACTGAACTAGAACTGAACTAGAACTGAACTAGAACTGAACTAGAACTGAACTAGAACTGAATCTAGAACTGAACTATAACTGACTAGAAAACTGAACCTAGACTGAACTGAACTGACTAGAACTGAACTAGAACTGAACTAGAAACTGAACTAGAACTGAACTAGACTGAACTAGAACGGAACTAGAACTGAACTAGAACTGACCTAGAACTGAACTAGAACTGAACTAGAACTGAACTAGAACTGAACTAGAACTGAACTAGAACTGAACTAGAACTGAACTAGAACTGAACTAGAACTGAACTAGAACTGAACTAGAACTGAACTAGAACTGAACTAGAACTGAACTAGAACTGAACTAGAACTGAACTAGAACTGAACTAGAACTGAACTAGAACTGAACTAGAACTGAACTAGAACTGAACTAGAACTGAACTAGAACTGAACTAGAACTGAACTAGAACTGAACTAGAACTGAACTAGAACTGAACTAGAATGAACTAGAACTGAACTAGAACTGACTAGAACTGAACTAGAACTGAACTAGAACTGAACTAGAACTGAACTAGAACTGAACTAGAACTGAACTAGAACTGAACTAGAACTGAACTAGAACTGAACTAGAACTGAACTAGAACTGAACTAGAACTGAACTAGAACTGAACTAGAACTGAACTAGAACTGAACTAGAACTGAACTAGAACTGAACTAGAACTGAACTAGAACTGAACTAGAACTGAACTAGAACTGAACTAGAACTGAACTAGAACTGAACTAGAATGAACTAGAACTGAACTAGAACTGAACTAGAACTGAACTAGAACTGAACTAGAACTGAACTAGAACTGAACTAGAACTGAACTAGAACTGAACTAGAACTGAACTAGAACTGAACTAGAACTGAACTAGAACTGAACTAGAACTGAACTAGAACTGAACTAGAACTGAACTAGAACTGAACTAGAACTGAACTAGAACTGAACTAGAACTGAACTAGA